CAAAAAGTACACTTCAAACCATTCAATTTTGATCTAAAATATTCTTTTTCTATCTCTCGTAGTTTTGAAGATATTCACGTCGAAAGAAAAAAACCGATTTTTTTCTAGGGGTGATTTCATCCTTTCAAAACGGAATACAATACCAACAAAAAATAGTTTCGTACTATGGATGAATTGTTCTACTTTTATACAAAGTTTCAGATTTTTCTGAATTTTCGGGTTATTAAACGTTCATTGTTAGTTCATTGCCGTAATTTTATAGTTAAAATTTTAATTTATTAATAAATTATTGAGCAATTGCTGAGTTTATAGTAATATTTTTAATAAAATAGAAATACTTTTTATTGAAAATAACGTTTGCTACCGATAAAATAGACTTATAAAAATGTAATATATTATTAATTTAAAGAAGTTGTTAATAGCTAACATGGCTTATTTTTTTTCTTGGATATGCATAATTTATTTTTAAATATAAGTTATTTTAGTTATCTATTAATTAACGAAAAAAGAGAAAATTTTCGATATATTTTACAAATCGATTTTTAAGTATTGTATTTTATTGAAATATTTTTTCATTTTTATATATTTTATTGTGTTTTTTATTTTGTTGTTTCTAATGTCATAATTTGAGATAGTGTAATGGTGAGTGAATCTTAAAAAAAAAATTAAATCATAATATATGAGCGGTCTCACGTGTTTATCTTACTCAAAATGTTTATTTACGGTTATGTTATTTATGTTTTAGGCAGTAAGTGGCATTCACGGCGAAAGATATTAACTCCTACATTTCACTTTAATATACTACAGCATTTTATTGATATTTTAATCGAAGAAGGTGAGAGCATGGCCAAGTTTTTGAAGGATATCGGAGGCCCAGTTGTAAAAGACTTAGTACCGTTTGCTAGTGAACATACATTGAATGCAATATGCGGTATAGTATCTTGTTTATAATTATACAGAATTTCGACAAATAATATAAGACAAAATGCATTTTTTTAAAATTCAGAATATCGATTCTACAACATACATATACTGACTATCAATAATGATTAAGTATAATTTTTACATTCACAGATATTTATGGATTATATATGTATAATAGCATTATTGTAATATTTTAATAAATGCGTTTTTCTTCAGAAACTGCTATGGGCAGCTCTCTACGAAATCTTGGTGCATTCGAGCAACAATATCGAAAAGCAGTTCATCGGATTGGCGAACTTTTTGCATACAGGTAATACAGGTTCACTTTTATAAATATATAATATAATATCATATATAAGACTAGTACATAATAGTGTACATAATTGTTTTATGACAATATTGTAGACACCGGTGAAAAAATTAACGGAGTCGTTCAAAATATATTTGAACTCAGAATTCTTTATTCTGACTCCTATCACTTAGAATAATAATCCAAGTGCTCCATTTGCTCTTTTATTTATTCTGATCATTTATAAGTATTTTCTAATTGATCTTATTTCTCTACAATATATTAATATTGTATTGTAAATTATTTATATTATTTTGTGATAAATAATATTTGATGTAAAACATCAGTTACGTTAACAATTATAATTAGCAATCTATATGTTAAATGTTATCCATTAAATTGTTTATTTAAAAATAAATATTAATTAAAATTTTTTAAATGACATTGAAATGTCATGAAAAAAATGCACATTCAAATGTACAGATATGTTATTTTTGATTTATGTGATATTTTTTAAAATATAAAATTAAGAAAAATACACTTTTAATATACAGTATCCTACATATCTCTTTAGCATAATTATTGTCTATTTCTTCTATAAATCTATTTCTTCTTTTATATAATTACTAACATATTACTATTTGTTGGAGTATAATAGAATTAAAGAGAGAAAATTTTCAAAATCAATTTTTACTTTCTTTTCTTAAAATAGCATATGTCTATCATTCAATAATTATAATTATGATTTAGAACAATGAGGCCATGGCTGCGCAACAAATGGATATACTCGTTGACAGAAAAAGGCAAAGAACAAAAGAAGACTCTGAAGATACTACATGAATTTACTGAACGAGTACGTAACAAGTATGATACTAATAAATATTGTATCAAAACACTATCAATTTGAGAAAATACAATAAAAGCAATTTAATTGTATACAAAATTACAAGATAATTTGTAAATGTTAGAAGATGTTATGTCACTCATAAGTTAGTTAAATTATTGCATTCACATAAATCATATCTACAGCAGAAGTGTATGTATTGTAGGAAAACATATACATAAAATATATTGTAGGAATACTCTATAAAGATTTAGGATACATATGATATCTTTATAGGATATTGCTATAATATATTTCGAACATTTCTGCTTTATGGGTAGAGAAAGAATGAAAGTTGTACTGTTGTAGATTATTACGGAAAGGAAACTTTATCATGAACGCACTAATGATCGATTTTTGAAAAATTTTGATAATAACACATCAGCTGAGGAAGATAAAACAATGGGAAGTATGTGATCGGAAGCCATATCTTAAATTTAGTCTTATTATCATCATTAGTCGGTCCCTCATGATTGAAAATCGTGACCATCGCGTCGGACTTTAGCCATCACAATTGTGAATACGTGACATGAGAGTTTTTATTGGCAAAAGTATTCTCGGTGGTTTGCCATTGCCTTCCATAAGATGGTAATCGATTATGAGATGATAATCTGAATTGTTCTAAGTGGATTTGAACTCGGATATTTGACACAGAAAGTAAACGCGCAGCTATATGCCGCAATTAAATTTAATTTATAAATTCACATAAATTGTTTTTCTATTTCTATTTATATTAATAGTATAATATACTTCAAAAATATAATATATTAAATATACATTACCGGTCAAAGTTTAAGTTCACTCAGTAAATTTTTGCACATTTTTAAACTTTGGTTACTCAGTGAATAATTGATGTAAAAAATAGATCTAAAAAGAATTTTACAGGGCAAACTGTCTACTATAAGACCTTTGTTCAATTTTTACTCATTTTAATATTCAAAGGCATGATCAGCTTTGAATAAAGACGTATTGACACAGAATCTCGAAATTTGTGGTCTTTTACCGCTTAACAAAAAATTTGGCGAAAATAATCATTGGTATCAGCTCAAAGTAAGGTTGCTTTGCTCTTTCAAATAAAAAAAAAACTTTTTCCTACGATAATTGTTTAGCAAGATATTGCAATTTTAAGTAACTTCTGGTTTTTACAATTTTAGCATTGTTTATATATTGATATATTGTAAAAAAACGTAAAAATCGTAAAAAAATGGAAGTTACTTCATGCAAAAACAATTTTTCCTACGCCAATTATTTAGCAAGATATTGCAATTTCAAGTAATCTCCATTTTTTTACAATTTTTACATTTTTTATATATCATGCTAAAATCATAAAAAAACAGAGGTTACTTAAAATTGCAATATCTTGCTAAATAATTAGCGTAGGAAAAAGTTCTTTTTTTATTTGAAAGGGCAAAGTCCGTACTTTGAGATGGTACCAATAACGATTGTTTTCGCCAATTTTTTTTTTAGGCTGTAAAAGATCACACATTTTGAGATTGTAGATGTGTCTATACGTCTTTATTCAAAACTGATTATGCCTTTGAGTATTAAAGTGAGTAAAAATTGAACAAAGGCATCTTATAGTAGAGAGTTTACCCTGTAAAACTCTTTTTTGATCTATTTTTTACGTCAATTATTCTCTGAGTAATCAAAGTTTAAATATAGGCAAAAATTTATTGAGTGAACTTAAACTTTTGACCGGTAGTGTATAATAACATACAATATTAATAAATAATAACATTAATAGTCAAACCTCGATAACTCGAATCTCAAGGGAACAGAAAAACACTTCGAATTATAAGGACCAGGCACAGTCTTTTGCATAACACCTAAGACGAGAGGCATAAGAGAATCAATCAATTAGAGTATGAAATGAAGGACTTTGATTGGTTGATTTTCTTATGCTTTATGTCTTATGCGTTATGCAAAAGTCTGTGCCAGGGCCTATAGAGTTTTTGACTTATCAAAATTCGAGTAAAAGAGAGTTAACATATGAAAATTCGACTTTCGAAGGTTTTATAGAGAGTTTATAATTTTCCAATTATAATGGTTTTCAAAGGAAAAACAACTCAATATTTGACAGTGAATTATTTATTGCATACGTAAATGTATATAATAAATGTAAAACAAAATACCAGGCTGTTTCTCGTGGTTACACATAGCTACAACTTCGAATTATAGAGAATTATAGAAATTATACCCCGAGAGGCAGCGACAATAAAAGTTCGACTTACAGAGGTGGACTTGTAGAGATCTGGTTACTTTAAATTTGAGTTGCAGAGGTAAAATAAAACATCTAAATATCTGATAAATAACCCGAGTTAAGGTAGATTTTATTTTGATTTATAAAGGTTTTCCGCAGTGAAGCGGAAAAGAATGAACAAAATTTTCGTCTTATAGAGGTTTTCGAGTTGTAGAAATTCGAGTTATCGAGGTTCGACTGTACTTTAAATTTTAGACATAGTTAATAATCTATAATGTAAGTGGTACAAAAAATACTAGGAAATTAAGTTACTATAGATTAATAATAATACATTATTATACTTTGGTTTAGTACGAAAGAAACGGCTTGCATTGTTGGATCTTTTACTAGGGGCTTCTCGAGAGAATCTTTTGACTGATTTAGATATTAGAGAGGAAGTCGATACTTTTATGTTTGAGGTATGCTTATGTAAGTTTTCGTAGTTTTTTTCCAATTATGTATTATTTAGATATATCTGATGCAAATAACGTGATGACAGGGTCATGACACTACAGCGATGGGTATATGCTTCTTATTACTACTTTTGGCCGAGCACAAAGACATTCAGGTATTTTTTGTTACATTAGCGTATTCCAATAAAAAAATTCTCATAATGTGTCTCATAAATTCTCATAATATTCACACACACGCACATTTAATTAGAACATTTCATATACATATATATTATAAATCTGGGAAAGATAAAGTTTTTCCAACCACTTTTGTGTGAAAAATTTTCGGTTTTATATAAAAAAATCTAAAAATTTCTAAAAGATTTTAAAATTATACAGAAATTTTGAAGAATGTAAAAATTTATATATACTGCATAGAAATTCTCAAAAAATTATACGAAGAATTTTAAGAAAAATGTTTAGTCAGATAATTAGAAGAGATAACTAATTAATGCCATTAATTCAAAAAATCGTTTATTGAAATAATGATAACAATGAGCTTTTAATTGTTGTGTGCGTATATATGTGTGGTTATGCATAATATACTTTTTTTTTATTTAGTACATAGAAAATAAATATATAACATATGTCTTCAAATTTTTCTTATATTTTACTTTATAAATGTTTAATGTATTTCATGTATACATTAAGTTATATAATTTAAAAGAAATCAATTAATACGTTTTTAAAATACATACAAAGGCTATAAAACTCTATGTCTGTACATAAAGTATCAGAATAGAAAGAATTGAAATTTTTCATTAATAATATGTTTACATTAATATTATAGGATCGTGTTAGAAAGGAAGTTGATATTGTTATGCAAGAGAATCAAGGGAAACTCACCATGAAATCGTTGCAAAATTTATCATATTTAGAGAGATGTATAAAAGAGTCGTTACGCTTGTATCCCAGCGTTTATTTTATATCACGAGTTATTTTGGAAGATGTAAAACTAAGTACGTAACTGATAAATCTTTTGATATTTTGATTTTTAAACATTACAAAATGAATCATTAAACGTTAAATATAAAATTAAATATATATATTATAAGGCATGAATTATTTATTATTATGTATATCTTTTTACAAAAATAAACTTACGTGGGCAAATCAATAAGTATCCGTGTTTGAAGACAGGCAGCATTGCTGATGCAAGTTGGCATTACCGCTATGTAATACCATCTTTTAAACAACGTCGAGCATATCAAAATTCGGAGTAATTTATGCGATAGTTTTGATTTGACAGCAATTCGTAGTGCATTACAGCTATCGCATGCATTACTCTGAAATTTGGTGTGGCACCGTTTAACCCATTAACGTCCAGGCGGACACATTTTTTGAACATTTTTCAGTGGCCAAATTTTTTATTTTAATGGCCTTGAAAAAATTCTAGCAACATCATTTCTGATGTAAAATTTCTCGCTCTAGATCGGAAGAGCACACGT